TGTATGACATGGCTGGCAAGAGGGCCAAATGGGTTTATTTGTACACCTTTGCTTCAGCCATTGGTGCGATCGAAATCCTCATTCTTGTAACAGGTTGGGTTTTTTTCAGGAGACATGATTTGCCAGCCACACTTGAAGATGGGTATCGTGTGATATCGAGTCAGTTCAGAAGATTTAGCTACGCCGAACTCAAGAAAGCAACAAAGAAATTCAAGGAAGAGCTGGGAAGAGGTGGCTCGGGGGCTGTTTATAAAGGTGTTTTGGCTGATGAAAGGTTGGTGGCGGTGAAGAGATTGGGAGACGCATTTCAAGGGGAAGAAGAGTTTTGGGCAGAAGTGAGCACAATAGGAAAAATCAACCACATGAATCTAGTGAGAATGTGGGGATTCTGTTCAGAAAAAAGGCACAGACTCTTGGTCTATGAGTATGTAGTAAACAGTTCACTTGACAAGCACTTGTTCTCTAACAACTTTCTTGGTTGGAAAGAGAGGTTTAAAGTTGCAATAGGGACAGCCAAGGCTTTGGCCTACCTTCACCATGAGTGCCTAGAATGGGTTATCCATTGCGATGTAAAGCCTGAAAATATACTTCTGGATGGTGACTTTGAACCAAAAGTTGCGGATTTTGGGCTGGCAAAGCTGTCTCAGAGAGGCGGTCCTGACTCAGAATTTTCTCGTATTCGAGGAACAAAAGGGTATTTGGCTCCTGAGTGGGCTATGAACCTACCCATCACTGCAAAAGTGGATGTGTACAGCTATGGAGTGGTGATTTTAGAGATGGTTAGGGGAATTAGACTTTCAAATTGGGTGGTGGTGGATGGTGAGGAGGCGGAAGCAGAGCTCACAAGGTTTGTGAGGATAGTGAAGAGGAAAAATCAATGTGGAGAAGAGTCCTGGCTAGAGGAGATAGTGGATCCAAGATTGGGAGGGCAGTTTAGCAGGAACCAAGCGGCAACACTGGTTGAAATCGGTGTTTCCTGCATTGAGGAAGATAGGAACAAGCGACCAACAATGGCTTCGGTACTTCAAATTCTAGTAGAGTGTGAAGACGATGAATCAAAAGACTACACTTGATGCCCGACACACGGACACAACAACTGATGAAGTTAACTTGGCCCAATTTTATCGTTTAGACTTTCAAATTTGTGCCTATGCTACTTTTGTTTTTTTTTTTGTTTTGTTTTTCTGTTGTTGTTGTTGTTGTTGTTGTGATAATATAATTTTGATGCCACTTTTTTGGGGCATACTTTATAACGTTATAGAATTCTAACTCAAAATTTTAATTTTTGGGTAAATTTTAATTTTTTTTTCTTTACTATTTTGTTTTCTATTTGGATTTTTGAATAGGATTATAAATAGAGCTGAGTCTCTATTAAAAAATTCAATTTTTAATAAGAATTACCTATTTCATATTTTCTTCACGTGAATGAATTTAGGTTTTTTTCATCCATCAAAAAGATATCTACTCGTTTTTGCTATTATTGTTACATCAATAGTCCAAACGAACAGTTGATATGTAAATATATTTAGTTTTGAGTCTAAATTTTAAGTTTTTTATTATTTTAAATTTCGTACACAATTCAACCAAGGAAGTTGAGTTTCATGTGTTTGAAAATAAAAATAAAAATAAAAATAAAAATGTTTTACATTTGATTTTGAAAATGGAAAATGTTGTTTCCAAAGTTTCCAATGAGCTAGTTTGTTTTTTACCCCTTCACAAAAAGATAAATTACAAATACACCTCATGAAATTTGCTTAAATTACAAATTACTTCATATGATTTTAGAAATTATATTATGTCTTTTAAGATTTCTAATTTCATAACAAATAGGTCTTTTATTAATAAATCATCAAGTTAATTAACAGTTTTTAATAATATTAAAATTTTATTTCAATTAATAAGTCAAATAATTTTATTATTGTATAGGTAAACAGTTAGAAATTTCACTTTTTAAATTAATTCTGTTAAATAAAAAATTCTGACAGAAGATATTAATAATTTTTTAAACCACATAAAACAATTCGTATTTTAAACAAATCTTAAAGGGGTGTATTTGTAATTTAGCCTTTACAAAATAGGTTGGCTTTTGCTAAACTACAATAACAATCATATCTAAGGTTAATTTTATTCACAAACCACAAATTCTTTTAATACACATCATTTTCTTAGTTCACACCATACTCAATTTAGATTATTTCATTTTCTCTCAATACATACCATCATTTTTCAAATAATACCAAATTACTCCTATCTTCTTCAACAAAACCCTAACACTATGTTTGGATTGAGTGATTTGGAGAGAAAAGAAAAGAAATGGAGTGATATGTATTTCTCTTATTTGTTTGGATAACCTAAGTAGAGAGAAATGGGAAGAAATGGAGAGAAACTCATTTCTCTTATGAGCCTCATTTTCAATCTTCCCAAAAGTGGAGAGATTGTGAGAGAAAAGAAACCACTATTTTCATAATACTTATTTTGTCCCTATAAAAATAAAAGAAATAAAATGATTGAAAATATAAAAGGTTATTTTGGTAATATAACATAAAATAATTTCTTTTCTTTTCTCTTAATGAAACCTAACCAAACAAGAATGAGAGAAATCACAATCATTTCTTTTCTATTATTTCTTCCTTATCCAAACAAAAATGAGAAAAATCACAATCATTTCATTTCTTTTCTTTTCTCTTATTATTTAAGTAATCATTTCTTTTCTTTTCTTTCCTAGGTTCCCAAACATAGTGTAACTGTAAGTACTTCCACCACTGACTGCCAGCAACTAATGGCCACCCCTTACTCTCTTGTCATCCACCCCTCCATGGCCTCTCTCCTCATGCCAACCTCATTGACCCTCTTTAGCACTCGTTACCGTAGCCACCACCCACCAACCCTTCTCTCTAACTCCGTCGTACATCGTTCTCTACCCTTTTGCATCCCTCTCTTTGTTCGTTCGTTCAAACCCTAGATCTAAAAACCCAAACCCTAGATATCTCTCTCTCAACTCACCATTGAGTTGCAAGGGTAGCTGAGGAAAAGGAGAAGAGAGAGAGACGTGAAGAAGAAAGAGATGGAGAGACGCGAATAAGAAGAAAGAAGATAAGCCATGACAAGGATTGGTGAGGCGGCAGTCAGTGAGGTCGGGAGCTGAGAATGCAGCAGTCAGCAAAGTTGGCGACTGGAGAGACGGCGTGCCGCAGTCGGTGATGGTACCTCTATGCTTGAAAAAGTTAGGGTTTATTTTGTCTAAAAAAGTAATTTAACTCAAGGATAAAATTATAATAAAAAAAATTGAAAGATGGTGGGTATCGAATAAATTAGTGGTGTGTAAATAAAATCACTCCATATCTAAATGTAATTTTAACGTTTAATGCATGTTAGGCCCGTAAGAGGTACTGTTGGGCCCATGGGGGCCTACTACGAGTCCTGTTTCGATAATCTGAATCGTTGAATGTGTAGAACTTGTTAAGTATTATATACTTGTAAAAAATTACGTTGATCGGATATCGATAGTTACGTGATCAAATCAGTTTTGTATAATAAAAAAAAATAGATGGTGAAAAAATAAACGGTTGACAGAAATCTGATCAGATGAGATAGCTATCGATATCCAATCAACGTGATTGTTTATAGCATATAATACTCGATGAATTCTACACATTGAACGGTTCGAATTATCAAAGCGAGACTCGTAATGAACTCCTACGGATCCAATAGTACCCTCCAGATCATGGACTGAAGGAAATCCAAGCCTTAGTAAAAACTCTACCCTAGAGAGGGTAATTTCATACCTATTTCCAATTCCCCAAGACCATCTCCAACGCTTCATCAAATCTGGCATCAAATTTGAAATTTGGTGAAAAAGTAACTTTTTGGTGCTCCAACGGTTTCACCAAATCAATATCAAATCGAGAATTCACCAAACCTTTCACCAAAATGAGAACACGCTTCAGGTTTCACCAAATCACTGTTTGTTACCGTTGCGGGAGACAAACCGGTCGACCAGCCGGTCTACCATAAAACAGTTCAGACAGTTCAAATAAATAGGTTCAAACAGTTTTAAAAAAAAAATTTTTTTTTGCCTTACTGGTTGACCCGGAAAAAGTTCAGACAGTTCAAAAAAAAGGTTCAAACAATTCACAAAAAAAAAAAAATTTTTGCCTTCACCGGCCGATCGACCAACCGGTTGTCCCGACGCAGATTTGATGAAAATGAACCATTGGAGCATTCGGTATCAGATTGAGAAAGAAGTCATTTTTTTACTCAAATTTAATGAAAATTTTGATGAATCGTTGGAGATGCTCTAATCAAGATAAAGTCAGAGGACTTTATAAGTGACAACGGTACCTAGACTGTAAGGTCTATTCCTATGAATGCAGGAATTACACAACCATGAAAAGGTACTATTATAACTATCACATATTGCCATATTGTAGACTACATGTAGTAGAAGTAAGAAAAGATACGGATAATCTTATTGTAATTTATTTATCAATTAACAATATTATATAAGATATTATCATTATTAATTGTTGAAGGGTATCAAAACTTTAACGTTGTATTTGGTTAGAAGACTTGAGAAATAATTTAAAAAATAAAAAGAAAAAAAATAGGAAAAATGTGAACACATTTGATTGATGTACTAAATGGGAATAAAAGATAAGAAACATTTATGTGTTTCATTTGAATTTTAAATATTATTTCAAAATAAGGACTGGAGTTATAGTTGAGGAACATCTAAATTCTGTATATATGTTAGTGTGACGTTGTTCAACATATATAATTTTTTTTAATAATTTTAATAAGTAATACATATAGATTTTTTTTTTTTTTTTTTTTGGTTTTTGGATAAGTAAGTCATATTATAACCAAAAAAGAAAAATATACAATGAAATTCAACACACAGCTTTTGATGGGAGCACAAAAATAAACAAAATAAACTACCCCATCAAAAAACAAACTGAGCTTATAGAAAACAAGCACAACATTCCTAACAAAACAAGGATTCATAATTTCCTTCTAGCATTCTTCAAGTCATGAAGTTTCGCTTTGAGTTTTCTTCTGTTATCCTCATTTGAAGTCTCCCCATAACTAGGATCACTTGAAGATGAACTCCCTCTATTTCTCAACTCTTGACTTGAATCTCCATTTCCTAACTCGTCCATATCACACGATTCAAGGACATCAAAGGCATTAGATGTTGAGGGGATAGAAGACCGCGTCTCTCTCTCTTTGTTGATCAATGGCGTTGAACCTTGCCCACCATCTCTCCCTTTTTTCTTCACCACTTCCCATTTAGTCGAAATTTGTGTTTTAGTGTCCTTGACTCTCCACTCATGTTTGAAGGAGGGAGGGTTCAAAGACTTTGGCTTTTGAGGGCACAAATTAGTGGTATGGCCAAAAGTCTTACAACCATCACACCTTTGGGGCTTCCATGGTACCTCAACTAGAATCTCATATGGGTCACCATAACCAAGATTTATTTTGAAAGACTTAGGGATCTCTTTATTTGCTGGCACTTCAATACAAATTCTAGCAAACGTAAGTCTGCTTCTCTTGAAAGTTGGCTCATCCAAATAAAGAGGAGTTCCCAAGATGCTAGCTATGTAACCCAAACCCTCTTCACTCCAAAGTTCCAAAGGAACATTGTACAACTTCACCCACAATGGCACACTTGAAAATTCACACTTTGTTAGTTTTAGTCCAGGTTGCCATTTTTTAATAACAATCAATCTAGCCCCAACATAATAGGGGCCATCTTCCAAGATTGTGTTCATAGCCTCTTCACTTTTTACTTTAAAAATAAAAAAACCATTGTCAATGGAGACAACGTCCTCAAGCAAATTTCCCCAAAGTTTCTCCGCCCAAGTTTTCACATAATGGAAAGAGAATCTTTTATCAATGAAGTATCCAACCAAAGCATTTTCCCAGTGAAAAAAGCCTTTTTTGAGATCTCAATAGGGACATTATAAATGCCATCTACTTGGTTCTCAATCTTATGGGCACCTATTTTATACTTCAATTTTGACACCTTGTTAATCTCTTCTTTAATTAAAGAGCTCCCAACTTGTAGAGGTTTACCTGATGTAGCAAGTGTATCCAGACCTTCACTACCATCTTCCATATGTAGATCAACAGAATCCTCATTTCGACAAGCTCGCACGGGCTTATCACTCTCTCGTTGCTTAGAACCCATTACTTCTTTCCTTTGATCAGCACTAAGTGAGCCAAATTTATTTGACAACATCATTTCGTTTGCCACCAATGGGGACACAGTGGTCAATTTTGGCCGCTGCTCAACATCAGTTAGCACTCTAGTTGGTGTGTTCCATGCATTAGGTGTTTGATGCTGCTTTGGTGATTGTTCAGGTGAGGCTTGCATTTCCACAGTCCAGCGAAACTGTGTTGTACCAAGATCACAATCACACTCAATTGAGCTATCCTCCGAATCTACGTCCCTCAATCCCCTCTTGTTTACATTTGAGGGCCCTTGCCACGGTCCCACAAAATCTCCAAGTGAAAGAGATTTGGGGGGGCCTCGAATGCGTGTAGACCGGTGGGGAAGTACATTAGGCATATCATCAGTAGATAGTTGATCCACCTGATTTACAAGCTCCTTCAAAGATACCTTAGTCGAAGATTTGCTTTTTGATTTACTCTTGGCTAGTTTGCTCTTGGCTAGTTTGTCCTTCTTCAATGATATCTTACTACCCTCTCTGTCCCTCTCATTGTCCTTCTCTTTCTCTTTCTCTTTCTCCTTAATCATCTTATGACAGCACAGTGACAAGGTTTCACTGGGGCATTTTGTCGAACAGGTAAAGGGCACTTCTGTGTTGTTCCTCTCTCTGTGATGCACTTCTGTGTTGTTCCTCTTCTATGTACGTTTGGGGACAGACGAGCATGAATATATATATATATATATATGGGTTGTTATTCAATCACAGAGGACGGTCGTCTTCGTCGGCACCATCGACGGCAGCGAGCAAGATGAAAAAATCCTTCGGGTTGAAGAAGAGGAGTCCAAACTCGGCTACGGGTCAGAACAACCAGGTGATTTTTTTTTTTTCTTTTAAAAATGTTATAGTATACAACACAAATGTATAATCTAATTTAGGGAGCCCTTACTACTTGGAATACCCGTTTGTCTCATACACAGGGATTGTAGTAGTAAAGGATTAAGATTCTCACACTTATTTCACACATTGTTTAACTGTAAAAAATAATTATATATTATTATATCATTCTAATCAAATTCAAGGAGTCTTTGTTACGGCTTAAATGACTTACTTATGATTTATTTTAATTTGAGGATTTGTGTTAGACCATATAGTGTAACTTTTGCTTACAATTTGTTAGACATAAATAATTTAAATAAGTTGAGAAAAGTTGATCTAAAAGTTAAGGAAAATTTACTCATAAGTCCTAGTTTTTGAAACGTTGAACCATTTAGTCCTAAAAGTTTTCTTATGTTCCATTTAGTCCTATTTTTACATCAACATGATGTGAATGATGTAAATGATCTGATATTTCATTCTATAATTTCAAAATTTATTGAAATCTGATGAACATTAGATGTTTTTCATCCTATATTTTCAAACATTATTGAAATTTGATGAACATTAGATGTTTGAAATCCAATGTTTGTAACATGACTCTGATGTTATTAACATTGTATCTGATGTTATTAACATTGTAATGGGACCTTTCAGTCTATAAGAAAACTTTTAGGACTAAACAGTGCATAAGTTATTAATTTGGGATTTATTGGTGCATCCCCCAAAAGTTAAAGAGTGCTTTAATTTTTGTTTTTTAATTATCAACTTTTAATTTATAATAAGTTTCACCAAGACTATATTTCACTCATTTATCTTATCTACTAATTTGTTTTCAAAATTTCATCATATATCAAATTCTTGATTTTATTAAGAATAATTCTAAGTACTCACCCTTAAATTTTCTGAATTTATCCCGAATAGAATTGTTTAGATGTGATTGAATTTGTGTAGTGTAAAATCTATGTATAAAATAAATTCCAACAACAAAATGATAATTTTAAATAATTTTTAAATAATTAAATTTAAATTTATAATATTACTATTGATTAATACCAATTCCAATGATATAACTTCTCTTCACAATCTTATCAAAAATTCCATTAATGTCTCATCCATTAAACAACAAAAAAAAGTCTAAATCCCATTTAAAATTTGGCAATCAAATGTGGCTTGTTGGATCATAACTAGACACTTCAATGTAACGGCTTTATTCATTCCCGCCCCCATTTCACCTTAAGAGTTGTTTGGGGTGTTCTAAATAAGTATACTTTTTGTCTTTTTAGACTAAAAAGTTGAGGGAAAAAATATGAATGTTTGAGTTAACTTTTTGACTTTTTATGAAAAAATGTATAATAAAAAATTGTAAAAATTGGTTTGTAGAGGAAAATTAGGATTGAGAGTTGTGCAGCCGTAATTGTTGACTTTTGATAAATAGTGTTAACTTTTTAACTTTTTAAGTAACTTTTTGACTTTTTTTAAGTATCCCAAACTTAGCCTTATTGTACAAACAGAGTCCTACAAACTCAGATGCGGCCTGTTGTCTGACATTTATTTTAGTATTTTTTCGTAAATTTATAACATCTTTCAAAAATTCTTCCACTTGAGGCTAAAAGTTCATGGTACAAACATTAAAATTTTCTTTTGGCAGATCTCTTCAACCTACTAGAGGCGTTGCAGAAACCTTGTGTGGTTCACCACTTTACATGGCTCCAGAAATAATGCAACTTCAGAGTTATGATCCAAAGGTGACATTCACTTTTTCCTGATACAATCACTTTGGACATTTTTCTTATACCTTCTCCTGTTAACCTTGAACTGAAAACGCAGGCAGATCTCTGGAGTGTTGGTGCCATTCTGTTTCAGCTTGTGACAGGAAATACCCCCTTTACGGGAAACAATCAAATTCAGGTGTAGTAATCTTTATTATGAGCACATCTGAGTAGTTTCATGTAGTGCTCAGGTTATTTTCATAGTTTGGTTAGTGATGTATAATGTCTCTGGGATTTCTAAGAATTTTTTGACGTAGGCTATATCAGTAAGTTTTAATCTTTTTTTCCCCTTGACCTACATATTTTCATCTCATGTGTTGAGCAGTTGCTCCAGAACATCATGAAATCAACTGAATTGCAATTTCCTCCAATAAAAAGGATTTGAGTTCTGACTGTTTAGATTTGTGTCAGAAATTGCTACCCCGTAATCCAGGTATTTGAATTCTACATATCTTGATTTTGGCTGCATATAAGATTACAATGGCTAGGTGTTAGCACCTTCTACTTGAAGGCTGCATGGTTGGCATTGGCAGCACCTTGTGCCCATGACCAACCAAGACCAAGGCATGATGGAGGCATGCCAAGACAGCAAGGTGAAGTGTTGTCCAAGTGCTGAGGCAGCAGCCCAACCCTTGGCCAAAGTATGTGCAGCCGTTGCACAGATGCAAGGCATTAACATGACCCGAATGTGGGCTGCAGCATACTTGGGGGTTAAATGCAATCAGTAGGCAAAACTTGGTCTGGAGGCTAAGACAACCAAATTCGTGGCTGACTTGATGAGGCAAACAAACATATATATACCGGACCACAGGTCGGGGCATCTGGGCCTTCCCGAGGAGCTGGGCCATCTAGGCCTTCTCGAGGAGCCGGGAGAGGGGAGTCGTCTCGCAGACGAGGCGGGCGCCGAGCACATATCATTGAGGAGGAGTCCAGTGAGGAGGAGGAGTCCGCGCATCGTCAGTCAGAGACATCTGCTGGCCGAGAGTATGACTCTGAGTCTGGCTCTGAGGGCGGAGGTGATGCCGAGGAGGATTCCGAGGACAGTGGCCCCGATTCGGATAGTGGTGCTGATGGCGATGGCACAGAGGCTGTTCCGCAGAAGAGGACGAAGAGGGCCTCTTTTTCTTACGCTTGAGAGCACAGATGTTCCTGCTTTATTTGCCTTTTTTACTAGTAGTTGTAGCACATTGTACATTATTAGGCAGTTTTATTTTTTGTAAAACTTGTACCCTTGCTGTAAAATGTTGTATCAAAGGAAGCATGATGGAATGAAACAGCTTTTGTTCAAAAAAGCGTTGTATTTTATGTTCTTGCATCGCATCGCATTATTTTGTACAAAAATGAGATTGAATGGAAATCGTGCATTGAAAATTGCCAAGTCAGGTAGTGAACCGACGCAACAAACAAAGCAACTTAACTTACTAAGAAAGAACAGAACCTTAGCAAGTTTACAACTCGATAAGCAAGACACAACAATGTTGATTAAACTTACAACTCGATAAGCAAGACACAACAATGTTGATAAACAAAGAGTAACAACTCAATACACAAAACTCGTCAACTCGACAAAACTTAACAACTTGGTAAGCTTAACACCTCGGTAAGCAAAGCAACAACTCGATAAGCAAAAACAACAACTCAATAAGCAGGATTTAATAACAACTCGATAAACAAATGCATTTCGGACGATCTGGGTGACGGAACGCATCCGAAACAGAGGAAAACTCGCACCTTTAACGCCCCCAATGCATGGAAATGCTTGGAACTTTTTTCTAGAGGCTAGAACAAGACTAAAGCTACCCTCCTCTTGATGGCCGACCACCTAAGGGAGCTGGTTGACCAGCTTTTTGCATTGGAGGGGAGAGGGGTGGTTAGCCTGCCAGAAAAGGTGGCCGGCCGGCCACCTAGCTTGGAAACCACCAAATTTTCGACACGTGTCCTCCAAACAGTGCC